TCCTGACCCGCCCGCTGCTCCCCTCAGCAGTGTACTTCGTTGATCTGCCTGTTCTGCTCCCCACTCTGTCTCTGGTGAAGCCTCTCACCACCCCTAGCCTCTGGCCTGTACTCCAGTTCTGTATGCACAAATAAATAAATCTTAAAAAAAAAAAGTATCTGGCAAGCAAGATTATAACATCTATTTGGGAAAATACTGGAGTTCACAATATCAATCCTTGTCTCCTTGTAAAAACTTCCTGGCATTTCTACAGGAGTAAAAGGATTCATCTCCATTGCAAGACCAACTAGCAAAAGGTGAATTCCTTATTACTTTCAGGAGGCCCAGGCCTGTCTCCCGCCACTGCCCAGGGCTGGATGAAAAGCAAGTCCTTGTCTTCCAGGCCAAGGAGGCCATCTAGTGGTAAGGCTACTGGAGGAAACTGGCCAGGGGGCAGAATAAGTAAAGGAAAAGGGACTTTTGGTTTAGACTTTTTCTGCACAAAAGCGACAGAATGGATTCTTTTGCTGATGCAAACCAAATTTCAAACCTAGCCACTCCAAAAGGTATTTCTGAAGAGCAGCAAATAACATGCAATTCCAGAGTCACTCACCCAGGTAAGAGGCTTGGCCTCAGGTTGAAGGGCAGGATAGGGATCTCTGTTAATAAGGCCCAGTTTTATAAATCCATTCAAAGCTTTGGCGTATCCCTGTAACAGAAATTATGAAACAGTTTGTAAAATTTCTCTCTTCAAAGGAAAAGAAAAAGCTTTTTGAAGTGAGTTTACTTCATCATTACTTGAGAAGACAAACTGAAAAAAAAAACATTGCTATGGTGGTTGACCACCACCTTGAGGTTCAAACCTAATTCAACAGTGCTTCTATCCCACTATCTTATATAGGAGAACTCGCAAAACTTGCCTCTGTACTTCTGTTTCAGGGTAACGTGTGAGTGGTATTTTCTGGCAGCTTCAGAGCAAAAATTCCCTGATGTGTGATATGCTTTCAGCTCAACAGAAAACTACATAGAGTGAGAGGCCATATCAGAACAGTCCCCAAAAGCAGATAATACATCCCACCAGTTTAGACCACTTTTCTGAGGCATCTGGGAAACAGGAAAATAATTCAAAATCAGGGATTTTTCTGGAATATCATTGCATCTCACTGATAACAAAAATTCCTCATGTGTCTTCATTATCTACAAGAAAAGCCTGAGTCCTGGGCATGTCATATCAGTTACCCTAACACACTCCTCCAGCTTGACCCCCTTGTTACCACCTCCACATTCAGGGATCCCTGACCATGCTTTGCTTTCAGAAGACCAGGCCTCTGCAGGCTGCTTGGACACCTGGAACAGTAACCATCCTTCCTCAGCTATGAAATGTTACTGCTCCCTAAGACCCAGCACTGTGTCTCTTGTCTAGGGGAAAAGTTCCAGGAAGAGGTAGAAGACAATGAAAAAGTAGGAGCCAGGAAAGTTGGTGGAAGAACTGGCGAACCCACGTGTTATCCATCCTCTAGAAAATCATCACTAGATCACTGGTGAATCTCAGCTAATACACCAGGACAGACATCCTCGCTGACCCTCGCCAGGAAATCTCAGAGCAGAGAGAGCTGCATTCATCGTTGCTTTTTAGAAATGTTTGTGTTTCAAGCATGCTGACTGGGGTGGGCTGAATAATGCCCCCCTCAAATTCACAGCTACCCACAACCTCAGACCCTTATTTTGATCTTTGCAGATAAAGTCAATTGTGGATCTCACTACAAAATCAGCCCCATTTAGGGAGGATCCTGAGTTCAATGACTGTCCTCACAAGAGGACAGGACTTAGACAGACACACTAAGGAAGGAGACAGTCCAGTGGTGGCAGAGACTGAGGGGATGTACTGCCAGATTACAGAACGCTAAGAGGCCCTCCCTGGTGGCGCAGCGGGTTAAAGCACAGCCCTGAGAATCTAAAGCCGCTTCCGCATGAGTTCGATTCCCGCCTGCCCCGGAGGTGACCACATGGCGTGGCAGACCTCTCCTGACCCGCCCGCTGCTCCCCTCAGCAGTGTACTTCGTGGATCTGTCTGTTCTGTTCCCCACTCTGTCTCTGGTGAAGCCTCTCGCCGCCCCTGAGCCTCTGGTCTGTACCCCAGTTCTGTATGCACAAATAAATAAATCTTTAAAAAAAAAAAAAAAACACAGCACTAAGAAGCTAAAGCCACTTCTGCATGAGTTCGATTCCTACCTGCCCTGGAGGTGACCGCATGGCGTGGCAGACCTCTCCTGACCCGCCCTCTCACCCCTCAGCAGTGTACTTCATCTATCTGCCTGGTCTGCTCCCCGCTCTGTCTCTGGTGAAGCCTCTCGCCGTCCCTGAGCCTCTGGCCTGTACCCCAGTTCTGTATGCACAAATAAATAAATCTTTAAAAAAAAAAACGCTAATAATGTTCAGTGACAACTAGAATTGAGAGAGGTGTGGGTGGACAGTTCTCCCTCCGTTTCCAAGAAGATACCATTCTTGCCCTCACTTTGATTTCAGATTTCCAACCTTCTGAATGATGAGAGGACAACTCTGTTTTGTAAACCACCCAGTTTGCAGCAATTTGTTACAACAGTCAAGCACACCAGTGCAGGGATTGTCTAGATCTGGCATCCTTGCTGCTGTACTCTGGCTAACATATGTGTAGTGGACATGGGTTCTTATACTCTTGGAATACCCCCCTCACCCCCCATGCTGATCAAACATATCAGATTTGCTGCAACTTCAGGTCTAGGGAATGTAACTACAAGAAAGTAAGATTTCTGCATTCTCATCTGAGGCTGCTGCCGCCTCCACCGTGCCTTCCAGAGGAGCCTGGCAGCACAGCCAATACATGAAGGAAGAGCTGAAAGGTGAATAGAAACCAAGTCCCAGTGGTTCACCTGACCCCAAATTGTACTACGCCAATGCTATCCCACACCTGCATCCTACTCCTCATGAATCAAACATTTCCTTCTTGGTGCAAGTCATTTTGACCTGAATCTCCCAAAACATTCAGCCAAAGAAGCCTTGAGGAAACAGCGCCAACCTGGCTTGTCATATGAATTAGTATGATGACTAAGAAAAATGAAGTGTACACATCACTTACATCTGAATGGACAACAGCCTTCATCAAAGAACAGTAGCTCACCTTATATCTCAATGTCCCCCTCAACAAAGTGTGAGCAGACTGAATGCCATAAATGTCGGCATATTTTGTGCTGTCTCTGTTAGGATAGCCTTCCAAATTTAACCCTGGGAAATAATCCATGGGCGTGACGGCGTCTAGAAAGGCGATGCCTCCTGCAGCGTTCACAACCTGGGGAAAAGGCAAAAGACATCTCAGGGAAAACTGGTTCCCCTTTTGAGCTTACCTGCATCATTTGCGCAATAAATAAATCAAAGCTAGAAGGAAAGCAATAAATGATCTGGAAGAAAAAAAAAAAAAACCAATGAAATCACAAAGCCACTATTTTCCCAAGCATTAAAATCTGACTCAGAGAATAATTTTTTTTGCTGTTTTGTTTCCATTATTGTTTTAAAGTTGAAGCAACCTTGCATTGTAACACTCAGCTTCAGAGGTATCGCTGAGTCCCAACACGTGTATCTTATACACTCGGTCACCACTAATCACCCATCTCTAGTTTGCTCACATCATTAACCCTTTCATCCAAATTTACCCACCTCCCTTATCCCTCTCCTCTTCCAGTCACCACGAATTGGTCTTACAGTCCAAAGGTTTACTTTTGCTTTGTTTAGTTCATAAGTTCATTTTCTCTCTATACCATGCACCAAATCATGGTGTTTGCCTTTCTCTGTGGGCTTACTTCACTAGCAGAATTGCCTCTAACTCCCTCCATGTTGTTGCAAACAACAGGATTTCATCTCATGTTCGGGAATATTCCATCATGTGCATCTGGCTTCTGTATATAATAAGCACGAGAGTGCTGCCGATGTGGCAGGATTTGCAGGAGTTTGTCCAGTGGTGTCTTGGCCCAAACTGAATGATTACCAGGGTTTACCTGTGGCTAGGTGGGCACACACCTTGGTATGAGAGCAGACAGACAGACACGTACATCATGTCGCTAGAGCCCCCCAAAGAAGAATGATGCACGCAGCACAGTCACACCTGGGAGAGCCTCTCCTGTTCAAGGCTCAATTTGCAGAGAATAAGCATGACTGAAAATTCCAGAAGCAAGGAGCAAGACTTTCCCTTTAACTTCCTTATGCAAACATTCTGGATGGCGCAGTAAACATTTTTCTTTTTTTTGAATCGTTACTATAAAGCACATTTCTACTGCTGGGATTTGAAGTTTCAAAAAATCTAGTAAGATGGCAAACATTAAACTTTAGGGCCAGGACCATTTTTTAAAGAAAAATTCAGTAAAGACCATAGCCACACTTCACTCATCATAAATATGTTAGCTGGCTGATCAGTCTATCATGATATCCTTGTAGAGAAATATAAACAGAATGGTAACGACCAGTTAAAGAGGTGGATAGCCACCTGGCAAACGGACTGAAACATGGCTGGTTGATCATTAGCATTTAATACCAAATTACTCGGGCTTTTGGTGATGGAAACGGGGTTCATTCACCAGCCCCATCCTGTTTACTATTGAATAGTGACGTGGTTGAGGACAAGACGAGATATATCTGTTTCGTGGCGAATGTGCATCTCCGTCTGCCTCAACAGTGCTCACATCCACGACCCTACTCCCAGTCCTATTGCTGCTGCAGTTCAATTCCTAGAAACACAAACACAGCCTGTCCATGGTGTTACTGATTAGCTTCATGGCTAAAGGAACGAAAAACATCCCACCTAGGACATAATATGCCATCATTTACTCAGAGTCCAACACGGGGCAAGTACCTTGCACACCTTACCTTTACTCAAATGGCTGTAACCCATTTTTCAGACATGGAAACTGAGGCTAAGAGAGCTACCCAGTGGGAACTCTGAACCCAGCTGTCTGATGCCACCTCGCTGTGCTTTCTCCTCTACCAGACTATCTCCTTAATTGTGTTTCTTTCTAGATCAAAATTGTGAGAGGGCTACTGATCAACCAGGTATCACATTCCAGGTTGTCACCAGCAATACACCTAGAAATTGCATTTCGCTTGGTTGCTGGCACAGGGAAGCAGTGGCAGCTCCTCATTTCCTATAGAGGGTCTGTGTGCTCTCCCTGTGTTTGCAAAATAAGCAGGTACATACTTATAATACGTGTGTAGATGGGAGAGAGATGACAGAAAAATGGCAAAGCTCTGCCTGATCACTCTCTGGTGCCACCAAAGTATACCACCACCCATGGACAGGGCAGCCCAAAGACAAGTCTCTCTCATTCGCGCTCTCTCTAAAAACATGGAAGGAAATCAGCTGCATATGGGCTAGGACTGGAAGTCAGAACACTAGCAGTGATTATGGTGATGGTGCACAGGTGAAGTGGTGGTGGAAACTCTATGGGGACTACACCTGAAAAAAGAAAGCAAACCAAGTAAGAAAAATAATTGAGAAATGAATAATGATGCACAATTTTAAAAAGAACAGTAGCGGTGGCTAGAAACCACAGCTGGAATGTAGCAACATGACAATACATCCTAATTTCTAAGATAATGCCCATGTTACTGGGGAAGTTAAAGTCTTCAAGTCTGACAGACCCAAATAAGTGGCTGGGACCCCAATTCTGAAGATTACTTAGGGTCTTCCCCACAGAGGGGGTGGCGGTGGCAGAGGGGTGGAGGGCTCAAATACAAGAGGTGCTTAAGGAGCTTAACTGCAGCCCTGGAGGACAGAACGCCACACTTGCCTGACTGAGGGAAGAACACAGTGTCCAGAAAGTTCTGAGATACGAAATATGGGAATTCAGGAATGAGAAGAGTAGTCAGAGAAGCTGCAGCCACAAGAGGAAACTTGAGCAGGACCTTTAAAAAAGGATCATTTTAGCAAAGCAAAGCATCATGTTTTCTCTGGCCGTCCTCCAGTGCAGTGAGATGCAAGGACAGCACTCCTTACTTTGTTTTAACAGGACATTTAGGACTAAAGGGAAATGTCTAATTCAACAAATATAAAAGCTGTAGCCTGAAAGAGTCTCTCACGTTGCCCACGCTTTCACTACCACCAACCTCTTCCTGTAGCTCATATTTTCCAGGGACTTTTGATAAGGCTGACCAACCTCCACCAGGCAGACTAGACCTCACTGACACCAACTGCAAGAACCCTGCCAGGCTGGTACTGGCATGCCCGTCTTCAGTAAGGAACCCAAAGCTCTGAAAGATTAAAGAGGCATTAGGAGCTTAGACTATGTCTTGGTAGAATGTGAAGGTGAGCATCTGGCCCAGTCCTTCAAACCTCACAGACCTAGAGAATGGACTGGAATGTTAGGGCTCTGTCACATGTCAGGAGACAATGCCCTCTTGATCTACACAATGATTTGGCCTCTGGCAGCACTATGAGGGATGCCAGCCACAGACTACAACTTGGAGGCCTATTTCACATCCTGAAACATGTGAGTGGAAGTTGCCAGAATCAAATGAAGCTTCCTGATTGTTGACTATCACTAAGCAGCTGTGGTCCTCTTGAAACTGCATCAGTTCTTTTCAAAGCTAGTGGCACATAAGAATCACTGAGGGCATTTTTTTGCCCAAAAGTAGATGACAGGATCAAGAAGATGAGGCATATATACACAATGGAATACTACTCAGCAATCAAAAAGATAAATGAATGCCATCCACAGCAACATGGATGGAGCTAGAAGGCATTATTCTCAGTGAAATGTCAGAAGGAAAAAGAAATGTATTAGATGGTTTCACTTACAGGAGGAATGTAGGGGAACCAAATAAGGCATTAGGGAAAAAAATAATAATAATTAAAAGCATAACAAAACAAAGAGACAACTATGAATCTGAGACATTCTGCAGGGGAGGAAAAGGGGCAGGGGTTAAAACAAGGGTGGGAAGAGCAGAAGGGACTGTGGTGATGGTGCACGGGTGAGCTGGGGGTGGGAATTCTATGGGAACTACACCTGAGAAAAGGAAACAAACACTGAAAAAAAAATGAGCAATGATATAAAATATATATAAAAAAATAAATTACATAGTAAAAAAAGAAGAATCACTGGGGGCATATTTAACTCCCAAAGTCCAGGTGAATCAGAATCTCTGGGGATGGTGCCCAGACATCAGTGCTTTTTAAACCACCGGGGAGACTCTGAAGACACACTGTCAGTAGGCACAGAAGACGAGAGCTTATAAACGCGCTCGCCCTGCTTCTAAAGAAACCCTTTCCCTTTATTCCTTTGTACATGAAATGCATTTAGACCCACAGACACACTGTATAATACAATGTGGTTGCCAGAATGATCTGGCTAGGGTGCACCTCTGGTCACCTAGCTCGTTATTCCCTGTAGGGGTGGGTTGAGGGTGCCCGGGGTGTAACATGGACAGAGGGACACTCGGCCTTGTCACATGTACTCCTCAGTGTGAGTATCCTGATGGATAAGAGCATAAACTCTGAAGGCAGACAGATGTGGTTTGGAAGCCCACTGTGCAGCTTGCTACGCTTTATCTGTGGTTAGCAGTGCCTCCAGCCAAAACCTGACTGGGTGGCTGTCAAAATAAAATCAGGCTACTGCTTGACTGCCACAGACATGAGTGGCAGCATCCCTGCCCAAGCGGCACCTTCTGATCCTTCAGTGTCAAGCAGATCTTCTCTTCCCTGCTCATTCTCATCTCCCCTACCTCCCACCTCCTCTCTATGTTCAAATTGATTGTCCTCTCCTCTATATTTCTGTGTCATGTTAGCTTAGGCTGAAACATCGAAATAAATTTTCATTATTCCAGTGTCAGCCAGTCTTTTCTGCCACAGGAGAGCTGGTAAAAGTGGAAAGAAAAAGTCTCTGGGTTGGAATCTCAGCAGAATGGCCACAGACATTCTCCTTGAGTGGGTTTCCTCGTTGTGCAGGGGCTCTCTTAAATTCTGGTTACAGCAGCTGAGAAATGTCAGTGTCTTCCCCTGACCTGCCAACTCCCCACTCCAGAGCCACCCCCATTCCAGGGATTTCATTCAGCGTGAACACACACAGCTCTAGCACAGAGGAGGCACTCAGCCACGTCTTACATGTTGGAGTAATCGCAAGATGGGTCTTTCCAATGGCAGACAGGCTGAGATTTCCCAATGTGGAAGCAACTTGCAGGAAGGTGAAAAGGAGAGAGGAACATGGGCTTCGTTGGGAACACAGAGACCACACTAAATGGACCTGGAGAAATACCCCAGGAAATGCCAAAGCAGGAGACAGAGGAAGAAGCAGCATGTCCATCAGCAAATGGCCATGAGAGTAGAAAGAGTTTGCTCTTTCTTAGGTCCTGCAGGTGTGTATATTCCTTCACCTTTCCATTAAGCAGGTAGGTGGCCGACTGCATGATGTTCATCAGCACTCCCACAGGGCTCCAGCTAAATTTGTATCTCAAAGGGTTGTCTGAATGTTCAGGGGCTGGAAGTCCACCACAGTAGGAAATATAAGATTCAATCTGTAATTAGAGAATAAATAAGGGAGAATGAATGATCAGTTAGGAGGAATGTTGTATCTAGTTAATAGAGCACAATGACATGGAGCAGGTAAACCTGCCCCAGATTTTCCTGGCATCCTTAAAGTCAAACATCTTCTGTTTCAGTCAGATATCCATCTACACATACACATACACCGACACTTTGTTCTGTGAAAAATCCAACTATTAGTTTAATTCTGCCTGACTTATATTCAAGTGATATATATTATGTATCTAAATATATTGCTTGCTATTTTACAACACACACATATGTTACAACACACACACACATATTATTTTACCTGCCTTATCACACTTTCATATCCAATAGCGCCTCTGTGTAAACTGAAGTCCCATATCAAATAGGCTGATTATATTCCAGAGAATTTTTCCCATTTGTAAAAGTCAAATCTTATTATATAATCTCCAAGACAGCCTAAAATATTTCATGAAGTCAAAAAATGGCAGTAGTATCTATTTCTATAAAAATCAATTGCTAACATTCGGACACATTTTTACCACACAGCTATTTCACTTGAAGTTTCTAGTCAAAGAATGAACTAGAGTATGTTTATTGTAGAAACATTACTTCTACACACAAGACCTGGATCTTTTACTATTGTCTTCCATGGACCTTTGGGTGCAAATTGGGCTCACCGTGGCGCCGGCCTCTTTGGCTTTGTCTATTGTTTCCATTGCCAACATGTGATCAAGACCAGGATCCAATCCCAACTCCCCAATGACTGTGATGCCCGCATCTTGCACACTATAGCAGATGGAAGGAGGAAGGAAAAGTCAGGTATCAGATTGCAATAATGTGTTGGAGCCATTTTGTTGAAGATGGTTGAACCTTACCTCTTTTCCAATTCTTTCAGCGCTGGTGTGATGTAACTTGCAGTGACCATGTTAACTTTGTTTGTGATGCAAGCCTTGGCCACAAGAGGATGCAGTACATAAGGTAACAAGCTTAAAAACAGAGGGAGATGCTGATAAGACATATTTTTCCCCCAATCCACCTTTCCAATGTCCCTTGTGTGGTCCTAAAGCTTGGTCCTAAGGCATCACTCTGACTATATTATTCTCACACAAGGACTCCTGCCAGAGTAAAAGTCACTCTGTTACCACATTGAAAGCTCTCCCCCTTCACCTAACCTTTTCTTTTCCTTCCTCAATCTCTTTCATAAGCCATATATGAGAACAAAAGAAGCCACTATAATTTCAGACTCACAGATTTTACATTTCCAGCTCTGAATTTTTATCCTAATTCTACCTGCTATCTATGTGCCTCATCCAGGTCATACCCTCCTTTAAGAAGTGTGTGAGGAGCCCTCCTTGGTGGGGAAATGGTTCAAGCACAGCACTATGAAGCTATCCACAGCCACTGCAGCATGAGTTCGATCCCTGACAGGGAGGTGACCCATATGGTGCAGCAGACCTCTACTGACCCACCTGCTCCCTTCAGCAGTGTATTTCAGTCAGTTCACTTGTTCTGCTCCCCACTCTGTCTATGCTGAATCCTCTCACCCCCACCCCCATCTTTGGCCTGTGCCCCAGTTCTTGTATAAATAAATTAATAAATCAAAATAAAAATAAAAGTATCTGAAAAGGTAGATATCTCCACAGAGAATCTTTCCCATATTCCCCCAAAGCCAGAACTCTTTCTTCTGCATGGTTCTAGCTACTGCTTTTTAACTTTTAATGGAATTTATTCTACTCAGCCTTATGTATGTATGATTTTTTTTTTTTTTTTTGGTCTGGGGTCCCCTATTGGAAGATAAGATTACTGTCCTTTAACTTCTTTATCTCCCAAATGGCTATCAGGCAGGGGTTAAACTAAATCAAAATAGCCTGTGTTTTACATTCAAGAGTGCAAAGGAGCCAGGCTTTACCGGTATTGATTAGTGAGCGGTTGTCAAAATGGAGAAAGGCCCACATGATGAACAAAAGTTGAAGTTGTCCTCAAAATTCAACTTTGATTGAGTTTTCTAAAAATCTGACTTTTATATTTTAATTTAGTGCTGGCACTATACATTCACAAGCAATCAGTTTCTATAAATGCCAATATAATTGAGTATTTTCATATTACAGCCAAGGAAAAGGAAAGCCTCCTATTGATTACACAATAATAATTATTACTTATTGTCTGTTTGTAAATTGGTAAAACAATTTACATAACCAATGAAAATATAAAGACAACTCTATAGGCATAATTACACTATATCATCCAAAGTATAAAATTCAATATGTGAGAATACCATCTTTCACATACTTATTCTTCCTCAGATTAATATACTGGAATATTGCTTAGATCTATTATCACGTGGAATAGAATTGTGTACATATTTTGCCAGCATTAATATAAAAGTTCTTGATTTGTTCAGTAATTTTTTTTCTTCAAAAAGAATTATTATAAAACATGGTAACCACTTATGTCAGTGAACAAAATAGTTGGAAAATTTCAGTTCAAAATTTTATTTCAAGAGAGAAAAGGGGGAAAGAAGTGAGGAATGAGAAATAACTACAAATTATATGGCTATCTACTCTGCGTGGATACTAACCTGATGACAAGATCCTGCTTTGCCACCAAAGAGCCCAACTTCTGTTCTTCTTTACCAATCTCCATGCTAACAGGATGGATGTTATATTTCTTGCCTAACTGCTCAATTTGACTCCTCATGTCAGACCCTATCAAGAAATTGAAAGCCCAGTGTTTAGATTTCCTCTCATGCGTCAGAGTCAAACACATTTTAACATCAAAAATGATTTTTCAGGCCCTCCCTGGTGGCGCAGCGGGTTAAAGCACAGCACTAAGAAGCTGAAGCCACTTCTACATGAGTTCGATTCCCACCTGCCCTGGAGGTGACCACATGGTGTGGCAGACCTCTCGTGACCCGCCCGCTGATACCCTCAGCAGTGTACTTCGTTGATCTGCCTATTCTGCTCCCCAATCTGTCTCTGGTGAAGCCTCTCACCGCCTCTGAGCCTCTGGCCTGTACCCCAGTTCTGTATGCACAAATAAATAAATCTTAAAAAAAAATTATTTAGAGAAGCAATAGTCATATAAAACTACAGTAAAATGCTTTTCTTCTTCAAAATCAGAACTTACTTACCAACTGTTATTTCTATGTTCTTATCTCTCGACAGGTATTCCAACACAGGCTCAGAGACATAACCAGTTCCAAGGACCAAGACCTTTTTCTTGGTGCCCATTGACAATGACTGAGGATGTTCCCTATTGAAAAAGGGGGCGGTGAGAAATAAATTAACCCCAAAATTATGAGATAACAGGATCTTGCTGTTCCCAAACCAAACCAAAACTTAGACTATTATGCAATCATTTTTAAAGGTTATTATCTCTTACAGTAAGAAACTTCAACAGGAGTTTCCTAAAGGCAACATTTTAGATTTTGTAAAATTAACTGACCATGCTGTCTCTAAAGGGTTTGTCCAGACTCTCACAAATTCCCAGCACCACCAGCCGATGCCAGAGCCAGAACACTCAAAGCCTGGCCTACTCAAAATGAGTGGCTTGGTCTCCTACTTTCTCCTTCCAGGGGCTGTGACTCAAAATTCCTACTGTGGTTTTCCACTGAAACCTCATTTACTCCTCACAACAATCTGAGACAAGATGATTCCCACCCATACAAGCCATTGTTTTGTCATTTATCTTTAGGGTCGCTTAACAAGAGTTGAAAACATAACAGCTGAAACCACGGCAGAAATGTCATGGGTCAAAGTGTGAACAAAGCTTAAGACTAGAACTAGGTAGAATTTTAATTCCTGGACAGTTCATTCTGTTAAAATTTGTGCCTTCTTAACCTAAAGCTCTTTGTCTTTACTCCCAACTATGACATGCACAGTGACTATGTCTTGACTGTCTTTATAAACTTATCAATAATATTCAGTGTTTTGCCTTAAATATGGGTGATATGCATCAAAAAATATTTTGAATTAATTCCCCAGCTATTAGAGTAAAATCATGGCGTGGTCTGGTACCAGGGACTTAAGCAGCAAGCTCAACTGTGGGAATCTGTAGGCCGGCCAATTCTTTTTAACTTTAACCTTTTCATTAATTATAAATAAATACAATTAAAAGTAAATATAAATTCAATTAAAACAAAAAGTAAATATAAAATGTTCTTGCCTCTCTTTATGCCCATATTACTGATGAATTAATACTCTCTCATTTCACTTTCTAGAAAGAACCACTATTGTTTATCTATACATTTTCTTTCAAATAATGTCTATGGTGTTGTTTATCTGATATTATAGCATGTCATATCATATTATATGTTGAGATCCAAATATAGTATTTTGCTGTCCAAATATTAAATGCCCAAAATGCATTTAAAAAAACTCACTTCTAGATTCTAATACTGTCTACCCCATCACTAATCCCAAACTCCAAGATCCAGGTTAATAATCCCTTTGCTTAAGTGAACATGAAAATAGGGCAGTGTGTAAGATAAATCAGAGTTCCTGGCAAAATGCATTCTTCATTCTCAGTATCTTGATACAATCTTCCAGGCAGGAAGGAGGACAGAAAATGCTAACAATTGGAACCAAAAGACTTGCTGCTACTTGAAACTTGCTATGAAGACTAAAAATATCAGCATGATTGGTCATGCAAAGCACTTTGTTAGAATTAGCAACATAAGAGATCATCAGATGATAAGAATCAAAGGATACAGAGAGCCAGGGAAAACAAACACGAAATTATCAGACAGGGTTTTAGAATCACCTGCTTTTTCCATTTTTTTTAACAAGACAAATTATCTATTCTTGTTCTCTTATCCCAGAATATTTCATGTTACATAAAAAGTAACAAATGTATAAAAATATATAGCACTAGATCTGGACAGATCTCCTATTTATTTCTTTAGGGTAGAATGAGAAGAAAGATTAGGTTGTTTGTTTTTAATTTTCCCACCGGGATTTCTTCTGAGATTTAGTGTATGGGTGATTTTGTTAAATTTGACTGAATATAAAATAGAGCAGATAGAAACACAAATCAAAAGCAATCAGCTGAAGGGACCTGGAATAGTCCAAAGAAATGTCAATATTTTCAAATTTTGACTAGTAAAAACAGTTAAGGAAACAGCAGCCTTAAGTGGCTTTCTCGAAGACAAGTGTTCTCTGTAGATTTTGCCACACTTTTTTTTTAGCACTGTCTTTGTTATAAAAATCCCCAGGGAAAACTGCCTTCTCACAATTTCCTTTCTTCATTACTGCTCTTAATTTCTAACTATAAGCCCACTTGCCCTAACATTCTACTAAACAAGTGGCCAAACCCTCAACTAAAAGCCAGCCTATAAGCACCACAGAAAGGAAGACTGCTTATTTTCATTTGAAAAAATAATTGAGGCATGACATTATTCAAAATGCTAGAATAAAAAATGGGCTAATGAAGGATAACCCCTTTGGATATTTTTTTGATAACATACTATTCTACACAGGGTATTAGAAAGCCAAAGTGGAGATGTACATTATTCAGGGAAACAATGCACACTGGTTTCAGTTAATCACTTAGTTTGGATTTCCTATATTTACAGACATTTTCAAAATTTACATTCCATATAAAGTTAGCATCATGAACTCACAATTGAAGCATTTAAAAAAAAACTCATCAGATCCAAGATAAGAATAATGCTTACCTGCTCTCTCGGAGTTTCTGGATATATTTATACTTATCAGGCAATATACCATTGGATGTAATCACTGCCTAAATGTATATGACACAAGACATTTCTTTAGTATCCACATTTTAGTCCCCAAAACATGGGCTCATGACTAATAGAGAACAGACAGAGTGACAGAGATAAAGAGGCAGGGAGAGTGTGTGTGAAAGGGGAAGGGAGAGAAGAGAGACAAAAGTGGTGGGGAAAAAATGCTCATGGAAAGAAAGTATTTTTCATGACTTACATCTCTCACCACAGGAGAAAAATTCTGACTTTCAAGAGGCTGTGTTGCATCGGATAATATCTGAAAGGAAAATGAGCTTGGTAAGAGGTAAGTCACAACACAAAGAAAACTTTTGCTATGTGTATACTTAATAAAATATTAGTCAAAGGGATAAAAGAATTTAGTAAGCAGTTTTCTGACCTTCCTATATGAGATTTGTTCCCAAGGATTTGTATCTTTAGCATGATTTCCAATTTTAAAGATAATGAACAATGACAGTTTTACCCCCTGCACCACAGGGGGTTCATTCCAGGACCCCAAGGATACCAAAAAATGCAGACACTCAAGTTCTTTATGTAAAATGGTGATGTAGCTGCATATTACATACACACTTCCTGCCAGATACATTCAATTATCTAGAGATCACTTTTAAGACCTAATGCATTGTAATTGTTATGCAAGTCGTTGTTAACTATTTTATTTTGAGAATAAGGACAAGAAAAAGGCTGTTCATATTTTGTACAGAGCCCTCATAGGCATAGCTACAGTATGTATTTTCTATCTGTGATTGGTTAAATCCTTGAAAGCAGAGCCCATGGGTATGACAGGACAGCTGCACAACCATCTTTGCTTGCTAGAAACCTGAAAAAGCTTACCCTTCGCCACCAGTTAGATGAGCCTGCTGGCTCCATCACAAGCTTCATGGACATAGTGCTCACTCTGAGGGCTCCCTCCCATTCCAAACACTTAGGCTATGCTAGTAGAGCTAAAAAATAGCTAGGCAGCAGGCTCACCTTACTCTATGGGGTCTTCCTCAGGTCAATATAGGTTCTCTGGATAAGCACATCAATAGTTCAAAAGTAGTAATGACAATGACTTCACCAAGTAGACCTAAAAATAGTCATCCATGTTCCTCCCATTATCTCAAGAATGAGTTAAATGACCAACAACCAAGTCACATCTGCCATGTTAACATCACAGCATTCTCCCTGTCCTCCCCTTTTCTGCCAACATGTGTAACCATTACATAGACTGGGATAAAGGTTATGTTAATCACTATGGCTGTTACTTCTGTTGAGACAACCACACACACACTCTCTCTCACACACACACACCTTTCATAAGATTAAGGTCTAGAATACTCACTCTACTAAGAACTAGCAAAACTGTGTCTAGCAGATGCATAGTATTCATTTACTATGTTAAAATAAATACAAACGAATTTCATGGAGCTCAACTACAAGACACCAAGGCTATTTGTTTCTGGGATTCAAAGCAAAGAGAGGGCAGGAAGGAGGGAGGCAGCCACAGATAAGGGCATTCTCTGGAAAGGTCATGGAACTCCCATGCCTGGGCTCTTCCTGCTTCTTTCTCCCAGGCACCTTTGAAATACTCATGATCCCCAACTTAAGAGATAGATCAGCTTACAACTTTTTGACTTTACAGTGGTGTGAAAGCAACACAGATGCAGTAGTATTCAAATTTCCTATTTTGAATTTTGACCTTTTCCTGGGTTAGTGACAAATGACTCTCTCTCATGGTGCAGCTCTCTCCAAGGGTTGCAGCTCGCAGGCAGCCCATACGATGGCAGAAACCACTACTAGAGCACAAGGCGCTTTGTTCTCAGGCTGTGATGCCTTGTATTTTTGCATCCCATTGTGTTTATTTTCTGCTTTTGATACTGTGTTGCGTAAATTACATGAGACCTTCAACTACCATAAAGTAATCTTGCGTTAGATGATGATGCCCCACTGCAGGGTAACACCAATCTCATGGACACCATACAAAATGAAATACTTTATAAAGCCAATATAGCCTTCATGCCAAAACTTAACAAAAACATTACAAGAAAAGTCAGTTATAGGTAAAGTTCTCTCTTGAGTATGTATGTAATAATATTAAACCAGATAAATCAAGGTATAAAATTAACAGAAGAATGTATACATGTGTACTAGAAGACATGAGAAAATTTTCCACAGTAGAATTATTAGGAATAACCCCAAAGAGGAAGCAACCTCAAATGTCTACTAAATAAACATAAGACAGATAAATAAATGATTAATGCATTGCAACCTGCTGAAGTTGGTTTGATATTTGAAAAAACAGACAAAATGAACACAAGGAATTATGGTGATGGTGCATGGGTGAACTGGTGGTGGGAAATTCACTGGGAAAGCATACATTGCACAAAAATGAAGGATAATATATAAAAAAATATATTAAAAAATAAATTCGCAATCCACATTAATTCTAAGCTTCTCATGAACATAGAACAGGCACAAAGACACAGTGGGGAAGAGCACAGGTGTTGAAGTTACAGAACATAGAAAATTCTAACCTGAGTTTGATATTTACTTGTTGTATAATAATAGGTAAGCTACCTCACCTCTCTGAGAACTTGTTCTGAAACCAATGTACTACAGAAATAATAATAGCACTTAGTCCCAGAGGAATTTAATAAAAACTAAAGGAAATAACAAGTCTGTAAATTACTTAACACGATGCTTGGCATATGTTAAGTTCAATAAACAGTACCTCCAATTAAAAAAAAAATAAAAATAAATAAATAAATTCGCATAGTAATAAAGCAGAGGAAAAAAGCTATGTGATCCTCTCAATGAATATAGCATATATATCTGACTAAATACACTAGTTATTTATAACAATAATATGTTTAAAAATCTCCTTGATGTGATACTATCTATTATAGTGAACATGATATTTAATGATAAAATATTGAAATTTTCCCTCTTAGGACCAGGAATGAGAAAAAGAAGTATTGATTTTACTTCTATTCATTTGCTTCTAATGTAAGAAGGCAATAAATAAATAAATAAATAAATAAATAAAAATAAGGTAAAATAACAGAAAGAGGATCTCAGAAAGGAAGAAACATGCACAACAGTTGTGGTCACATATAATTCAATTATATAATAAACTCACAAATGTCTGAAATAAAAGGAGAAATCAGAAAAGTACATTTGAAAAGCACTGTACAGAGACACTAATAAATGGCTCAATAAATACAAGAAAGTTCACCCCATCTTTTCAGTCACTATGGAAATGCAAATAAAAACCTCAGTGAGATACAACTATGCACAAATAACTAAATCCAGAGTAGGTATAAACGAAACAAAAAGAAGTAAGTATCTATGAATATCAAAAGACATGCTAAAGAATTCATCATAGAATTATCAGTAAAAACCATAAGCAGAAAACCACCCCCTCAAGTGTCCATCAACAGTAGACAAATAAATCTCAAGATATTCAACTACTACACAACAATGGAAAGAAGAAACTATTGTTAAACTAAATGATGCATCATGTAAAAATAAGACTGAATGGCCCTCCCTGGTGGCGCAGCGGGTTAAAGCACAGTACTGGCAAGCTAAGGCCACTTCCGCATGAGTTCGATTCCTGCCTCCCCCAGAGGAGACCACATGGTGTGGCAGACCTCTCCTGACCAGCCCGCTGCTCCCCTCAGCAGTGTACTTCATCCATCTGCCTGTTCTGCTCCCCACTCTGTCTCTGGTGAAGCCTCTCGCTGCCCCTGCACCTCTGGCCTGCACCCCAGTTCTGTATGCATAAATAAATAAATCTTTAAAAAAAAATAAGACTGAATGAAAGATTTTAGACCCAATAGCATACATCTTGTACAATCTCATCTCTATGTTTCCACCCAAAGGCAAAACTAAGCTACAGTTTAAAGTCAGGATAGTAGATGCCTTCAGTAAGGAGAATAGAGATAGTGAGGGCAAGAGGAACAGAGATGTAACTGTTCAATTTACTTACTCACATAGTATTTCCTTGGATGTTTTATGATGATTTATTTTGCTGTACAGTTCTGTATCACTTATTTTTTGTTCCTAAGAAAAAGACTATCTACAAAATTCACCTATCCCTCCCTAATTACTTGGGTCAACCCTCAATCACAGCTTTTGAGAACTCACTGAACTGAATTGCTCTTCTGCTAACATGTATAAGATCAATTGTGCTGAAATGACAGTTTTGATGAAGAACAAGTAAGAAAGACAATTCTTACTCTGAGGTCCAAAATAAATTTAGAGCTGAAATTTTGAAAGATAACAATTTGTAAGTTGAAAATGTCTTATAACAACTTCTTAGCATGCTAAGTGATATTCAAGAAGCCAAAGAGACATTTCAAGAAATGAACAGTCAAATCCAGCCTCAAAGTAAATCAGCTATTCAATATTTTGTATCACCTGGCCTAATAAGGTAAGAGTTATGCTACAATACATGATATTAGCATTTTAAAAAAATGAATTAGCACCAAAGACACAACTCTTCTTGATGGCTCAACCCTCTGCTGGAATGACCTTGACTCCTTAATGTACTGTGACTAGGATACGTTCTGTCTTGGGTGTGGGAAGCTTGAGTAGACCATGCCTAATAACTATGAACTCTGGATAGAAAACAAACAAAGAAGAACAGCTATCTAAGAGCTTCAGAGAATGAAGGAAAGCAGGTGGTTTGAGGAGAAAGGTCACAACTTGGAACAAATTTCCAGTGCCATAGTTGACATCCTGTTCTTTGACATAGATTAGGGGGGTCCGGGGTAGTACTAGGTAGTAAGGACTTACAGCAAGTTCACTGGCTTTATGACCTGAAGACACAGGGATGGAGCCCAGAGCAACCATTGTTTCTAGAATGGGAGGGGAGAATGCCAGAAGGGACCCACAGAGAAAAGATAAAAGTCTAACTTGTATGTAAACTCTGCCCAAGTCCCTGGGGGACTCAAACTAAGCATGCACAGACAGACTACACTCAGCCATAAAGAGCTAAACTTTCACATGAGCTACACCCCTATCCCCACCTCAAATGACTCAGGATTTCTGGTTTAAGTCTAACCAACCAAGCAGACTGCTAAATATATAGATATAATTTTTCACAGAAATTTCACAACCCAGAATCACCAGAGTGTAATGTTCACCATCTAGAGAATACTCCAAAATTATACAAATTATGAAACCTATGTTTTGACCTGTCCTTAATAAAATTCAATGCCAAGTTAACCCAGAATTTTTTAAATGTGAGGCAGATATCACTTGGGCTTTATAACTATGCTCCATATGATAAAGAAAAATATACTCATAGTACATAATCAAAATTCTCAGCAGAGAAAGACAGGGAGATGAACCAAATAGAAATTTTAGGACTGAACACTGAATATCTGAAATTAAATACTCACCGACAAGGCTAAAGAAAGTGTTTTGGTATCCAGGGAGATATGCCAAGGGGAAATGAATGAAGAACACAAAAAAAGGTAAACATCGAGGTAAATCTATGATTACTTTTTTTAATACACACATGGATTTCCATCATTTAGATAGTTATAATTATAGTATGTTGCAACTTGAAAGGACCGATAAGACATTTTGAAACTACCTTATTTTACAGATGAAACATCTGAGGCTCAGAAGGGAAATAAGTGAGTGGCCTGCTTGTCAGAAAGCAAGCTGGGATCTCCAGTAAGGCCAGGCATGTGGAGATGCTGTTCTGTTAATTTAGTCTCTCAGCACCGGTCCCAGACACACTGTATCAGCCCTGCCTTTTTCTCTGACTCAGTTTCCCAGTCTGTAAAATGGGTTTAATAATGATACTAATAGGGTTCTCATGAGCATTTAAAAATTAAGATACTTAGCCCTCCCTGGTGGTTCAACCAGCTCGAGTACAACATTGCAAGCAAGCTGCAGCCACTTCAGTGTGAGTTTGATCCCGTCCCAGGGGTGATCCACATGGCACAGCAGACCTCTCCTGACCTGCCTGCAGCTCCCCTCAGCAGTGTACTTCATTGATCTGCCTGTTCTGCTCCCCACTCTGTCTCTACCACCCCTGCACCTCTGGTCCATACCCCAGTTCTATATGCATAAATAAATAAGACTTTATAAAAAATAAATCCCACAATAGAGAAGTATTCCTTTGGCTTCACTTTAAAAAAAAAAAAATTAAGACACTTAAGGGAATTTCAACATTTCCTGGCACACAGTAGGTGCAATGTAACATTGTATTCAACCACGATAATACCTGCCTTCTGCATTTTCTAAGCCTGGTTATATGTTTTCACTGATATGGTACAGGTTATATGTTTTCACTGACCTATTACAGGAAGAAGACAAAGGGTCAAAATGGAATAGCATAGGAAAGAACAGATGAGAACAGACTGGAAATTTCACTTATTTATGCCCCACTAACTACTGTCTCATTTTAGTAAACTGTGGATGAAAAAGACAAGAGTCACTCTTCATGTCCTTGGAATCATTACCAGAGGAAGACAGTCATCAGCGCTAGACATAAAGCATGGTGAGCATGCACACTTACGATAAAGGGTGAAATGAGAAAACTTCTCTTTGGCAAAGAAAATGGAATTTAGATAACACAGTATTTCAGCAGTTACCATCACAGTGAAAAATAGATGAAAATAACAAACCATCACTTTGATGAAATCCAGTACAATTTTCTAGATTTGTGATTTTTTTAAATCTACTAATCACCGCACAGTAAAAATGTCTCAAGACACATTAAAGAGGGGAAAACAATGCAAATATTATCTTACATGTCATGGCCATTCTTGATAAAACATACAAATGAGTGACAGTTGCAATCAGGAAGGCAGTTTCATGTTTTTATATCCCATGAGACAAAAAGGAGAATACATAAAAGGGTGTCAGCAAGTACTTTAGAGAAGGACTGGCATTTCATTTTACAACAGATTTCTTAGATATAGAAGACCAGAACATATAAAGGACGGCTCTGCAATTCTACTGAAAGTCATAGAGTTGTTACCGATGGTACCAGTGTGCTTACCATTTCTTCAACGTAAGGGTAAAGCTTGTCTCCAAAGTACTCTGTAGCTTCGATTGGAAGCTGTGCCGGCAAATTGTCAATGGAACACATCAGAATCCCAGAGCCTTGAATACTAGGAGAACCAATATGCTTTATTCATGTGTATAAAATGTTACTTGCAAGGTTTAACTTTTCCAGATTGTTATTCCATTACATTTGCTTCATAATCATTTTCTTTGTAATGTTGTATCAAGCATACAAGAAAATAAGTAAGGCTTTCAGAAAGACCTTTTCCCTTCAGCAACCCATCTCCCATTTAAATAAGGTTTAGGCCCTCCCTGGTGGAACAACTGGTTAAAGTGCAGCACTATGAAGCTATCTGCAGATGCTGCAATATGAATATGAATTCGATTCCCAGGCCAGGAGGGTGACCCACATAACATGGCAGACTTCTGACCTGCCCTCTGCTCCCCTCAGCAATGTATTTCAGTTCATATGCCTGTTCTGCTCCCCACTCTGTCTCTGATGAATCCTGTCACCCTCAGACCTCCAGCCTGTACCCCAGTTCTTATATGCATGAATATAATAATTTTTAGTAAATAAATACAGTTTATGTGCCCTGTGCAAATGTTCAAGCATGAAAGGTACAAAATTTTTTGTATCTTTGAGCATATCTTTAGAAATATACATAGACTTTATAAAGATCTAAAATACTGAGTATTTGAGACTAGTAGTTCAAGGTAAGTAAACAATGTATTATTATTTATCTTTTGCCACCTAACAGCTTTAGAAAACTCACCTGTTACGAACATGCTGATCTGCATCATACATGCAAAAGGGGTGGTCTATGGTGGTGCACTTAGTCATAAACTCTATAGAACCTTCTGGGTCAGCTGAAATGTCACATATGGCCACAAGTCTGGAATAACATCAATACTTAGATGCAAGCATGAACTCTGAAGTATCTAACAAGATTAAAAATGAATAAATATAAAATGTAATGGGAATACTTTTCGATGTAGATGATAAATATATTTTAGTCTCTTTTTCCAATAGACAGCTTTTCAGGACACTGATTCTTCTAGGATGTAAAGCATCTTCCCCATGTGAGTTTTAGTTATCACACACACACACAAATAACAGGAAAAAGAGAAGGGGGAGAAGACAATGAAAAAGAAGGGGGACGAGGAGGAAAGAGGGAAGAGGCGGTAAGGAAGAGATGAAGAGGGAGGGTAAGCAGGGGAAAAAAAGGAAATGGAAGTAGAAAATCCCTCCCCAGAGCATCATTGCCAACAGGAGAAATTTAACCTACTAGCTGATTTAACTTCTGAAGATTCAGTTACACTTCATGCACCTTGTTTAGTACCATGTAATTTTGCACATCATTACATAGAAATCTCTAGAACTATGAACATGTGTTTCAGTTCAGCATTTGAAGGCTGATCACAATGTTTCTGCCCAATTACCAAGAACCTGTGTCTAGATAAACCCTCTACTAGAGCTAGACTGTCCCACCTGCTGTGTCTTCAACTGTGTTTCTGTGGCTCCATGACCACCAAGCATCAAGCTGTCACTTGAAGTTCTCATTCTCCTCTTTCCTTCCAAGACTGCCGAAGCCAGTGCTCTCACCCACTTCCAAACTCCTGTAGGGGTGACTGCTCCTTGCATTTGCTTGACATTTATTCAGTGCCAGCTTCCCACTGGAGGGCTGTGGCCCCATCTTTTATTTTTTCACTCTCCTCTGTCCTTCAGCTTAGCAGATTGCCAAGCAGATCTAACTTTCACAAATATTTACTGACTAGCTAATTAATTCAAGATTTAACAATCCTTGTATATTGTATTCAGACAATGAAGAGAGGACTAGGGCCAAGATAAATGGGGATATTATCCACGGGAGATTAAATTCTAGTAGAAGGAAGAAAAATCACACATAGAAGAAATTAGATCATCATGGATTTCAGAAAAAGAAAAATCAGGATAAAAGACGAGAGAAATGGGAATGGGAGAGCAATTATCACACCATCTGGAGAGGTTACTTTTGAGTACATGTGCAGTTACATAAGTTAAGGGATAAGCCAGAATAGTCACCTCAAGTCCTGTGCTATGTGGATCTCTATATGTGGTACTCTAAGACTGGGCATGGCTTATAAGAACTGGTACCAACACTGAAGTGAAGTCCTTACTTGTGTGGTAATGCAGGGCAGCCTTCAACACCAACACCTGACGACTTGCCTGGAGCCAGTAGATTCTGAAGATCTTGACGGGTGAGCAGACGAGGGACATTTTGTTCCCAATAGATACCATTAATTAAACAACTCGTATAGGGTGCAATCTGTAAAGCAAGTTCCAAGCTCAACAAAATAGGAAATAGTCTATTTCCACAAAATGTACTGTAAGAAATAAAATCCATGAGAAATATCTTCATGTTACTTCTAATCAAACTTGTTGTTTGCCAGGTCAGTGCCATCTTTTGAGGCAAAGACAGTAAATGCCCACCCAAATGTCAACATAGAATTACCCCCATGATATAGATATAATAGAATATAAATAAAAACATAATTTTTGTTCTGTGGTGTATTGCATAGCCAAGAAAAAGGAAAAGATAGAAAGTTAAGTGAAGTGGCACTCTATTTCCTGCTCAACCACCAATAGAATGTGCTCTAAATCATGCTACCTCAACTTCTCTGAGCTCTATGTTCCTTACCTGCTAGATGGGGATAATACGTACCCCCTTCCTCATGGGAATGCTGTGAAAATTAAATCAGATAACATTTGTAAGCTCCATAGACAAATGCACCACATACATGCATGCGTGGTAACTATGTCATTATAAGTTTTATGATGCATCCAATCACCAATAATTCTGACTGTGAGAAAGAGAAGGGACAGAAATTTACCAATTCAAGAATTTCAGTCTCAAACTATTTGTTGTTTAGTTTTTTAAGCATCTCAGCTATCCTCAAGTTATAGGAACAGTCCTTTTTTATAAAATGTTCTACCTGCTTTAACAGCTAAATTGCATACCAGCATCTAAAAATGCTCTACTGTTTAGATACATTTTAAATTATTCAAAACATGTAAATGCATGTGTTTTTGTTGTATTTATTTTTAGTTTGTTAGTTTGTTCTGAGAAGGACTGTTGCATGACCAGTGATTACAGAACGCAAACGGTTCACCTTACAAGATGAGATCCTGTTCCCCCAGAAGAAGGATTTTAATTATAAGCAACTGTTGCACACAGTGGGGATGGGTTTGTGCTAACACAGTCAACTATTTTACCCTAACTTCGTATAATCAACAGCATGCATTTCATGACAACTAATTGAGGTTATGATTTCAATATGTGATCATAGAAGCAATAGACCTATGTGACTATCCAGCCTCAATGACATTGCACCTTGTCAACAGTACTAACTAGTCCAGGATAAATAAAAGAACATAGTAATCCATGGGGAATGGTTTAGAGCAACAGGACACCTGCAGACCTGAAGTGGAAAAAGAGGCAGGAAAGCAAAGGGCACGTCCACAGAAACCCACAAAACAAGGACCACCAAACAAAGGCCATTCCAAACTTTAAAGAAAACCAACAATTCCTACTGCCAACTCAAGATCCCCAAAGGACTCACACCAAGTCGACATGGCGACTGAAGACCAATGTACACATTCATAACCTCTCTCCTTAAAAGCAGTCTAACTACAGTGTATCACAGGCAGCCAACTCAAAAGCTGGATACGATACTCACATCAATACTAAAACGACTTATGTAGCGCTCAGGGTATTTGTCATACTCTACAGGATCATACACACCATCTGTTTTCCTGACAAGATGATGATGGCGACTTAACACCGTCCCATACACTTTTCTCAGGTCTTGTAGAGGAGAAAGAAATTAGTAAAGTGGGTGACATAGGATAACGATTTATGGTGATAAAATATTATAACACAGAAACTGTTAAAAACTGTAAAAGAGAGTCACCCTCCCCGCCTCTCTTACCTCCAGCTTGGGAAACTTCTTTTAATTCATGTGGCTCCACATATTCACAGGGTAGTTCTTTGAAGATTTCTTGGGCTCCCTGTAAATAACATACAAATAAAACTCAATGTTTTCGAGAAGGGTCACCACAGTTGCCTGCAAGAATTCCAACTCACTTCCCCCAAATTATGTAATGCCACTGTCCTGCCCTGTACCCAGGATGACAACTCAGAAGTACAGATGAATTTCTAGCATGCAACTTGCAAACAAGCATTTATTCCAGTTTGAACAGCCCTCATTAGAAGAGGTTTTAATTATCTTAAGTTCCGCAGAGCAGAAACAAGAGCATTGAAAAATGAGAGCACAATAAAATGTTTCTATTTACTTTTTGTTCCAGGACAGAAATAATTTTAAGTCATGAAATTACATTTCCAACAAAAGAATTTGTTTTCTGCCTCACAGTACAATACACACAGTGATGTTCTATGTGTAATGTCTAAGACCTATTTTATGATTATAAGTTGCACACATATATATTCTCCTCCAAACTGCACTTGAAGGAAGAAAGTGTTCAATCCAATCTGGAATTAATCTTCCTAGTATCATATTAACAAAACTCCAAGTCATCTTGGAAAGTTTGATCCTGGGATCATTCCAAACTCAGGGCCATCTCATTCAAAGAGATCACCTGAAGAAATCCTAGACAGCAGTAGTAATGAGACAGCCCTCTAAAAAGAAAAGCAAAAGAAAAAACACTTGCAGTCTCTGCTAGCTTGGAATGAAATGAAAGCAAGCAAAAAGAATTTGGGGACCTTCTTTCCCTTTGCAAAGGAAAATTAGAGAGATAAGAAAAGTAGCAAAATCAGAATGACCCATCATGAAAAAGCAGGGCTCTGAAATGCCACATCCTTTGGATTAGGTTCAGAGTTTCAGTCTGCTTCATGGAAAGAAGACAGGTGGGATTTACCTGAGATACATTACCGGTGCCTGTGAACACAAAGGTTAAGGGACCTATTGACTTTGGCATCAGCCCCAGAGATATCTGGTAACCAGCATCGCGGACGGCCTGCACAGCCTGACTCTTGCTCCTGTAGTTATGAGCCATGCCAATGTGCTGAAAGCAAACACACGTGATTCACATCAGTCTACCACCTGAGGCCTGTTCTTAGCCCAATATGTATTTCCCAAAAATTAGACAAAAGAAATATCTTACCATGAAAGGTGTGTGGTGCCCCAAAGCAAGGAGTCTCAACCCCATTCCATGTAAAATGTCAATCATCCCTGTTACAGAAAGACCATTAGTTGGAAGGAGTTGAAACTACTCCCTGCTCATTCTCAACCTGCTCAGTGCCTTGAAGAAGCAGACCAGAGCAGCTCATTGTCAAATTTCATCCCCTCAAAAACACTCTCACTCTTGGACGTGTCTTGATCCCTTCCACTTTCAGACTTGCTAACATGGAGAGTGAACTTTATCTAAGGTTAACCACTCCATCTTTGTTCTGGATCCCATCACTTTCTGCCTCCCTAAGGAATTCACTAGTGAACTGTTCCTTTCTCTCTCTCTATTGGTTCAATCTTAACATTTAAGCAAGAGTCCATTCCTACCATGCCAAAAACCAAAGAACAAAGACCCCCTTGACACTAAGACCTCCATCAACTATTTTAGTGACCTAAAGAGCTGAATTCTGGGTACTTCTCATATATTGACTTATTTTTCAGATCCATTTGACAGATTCAAACCCTTTCTTTGTTGGAATTCTTATCCCTCAGCACCCCAGCCTTGAATATTTCCATTATAATATCCGTAGGCTCATTTTCCCAAGCCCACCCCTTTGTTACACTCTGCCTTTTCCTCAGGCTCCTGTCCTAGACCCTATGCCCTTCAACTTCCACATTTTCTCCTCAGCTAATTTTACCCAGTCCTGAATTTCAACTAACCACATGCAGATAATACCACCTCTGTACCCAATTCAGATTTTCAATTCAAGACCTAGCCAACCGCCTTACAGATGTCTCCATTAAATCTCCTTCAAACAGCAAACACCCCACATGCCTGTAGTGAAGACTTTAACTTCCATTCTCTGCTTTTCCATTTTAGGAAGGAGCCGCCCCTCTACCCCCTCATCTCTTCTCTTTTCTCTGCTGGACTTTGAAAGGGTTAATTATATACAATCCAATGTATCCATTTATGAATTTTGATAACTCTTTAACAGATATATACATGTGTGTTACCACAACACAATGATACAAAATATTCCCACCACCGCAGACAATTACAGGAAAAGGAGTATTTAAATTTCCAAACATATTGGGAGATTGTCTATTTTATTTTCTAAGTCTGTCTATTTTATGATTTATGGATTTTTGAAGCTCATGCACTTATTAGGCACATACACAGTTAAGATTGCTAAGTCTTCTTGGAGAATTGACTCCCTTGTCTTTTTAAAATAAAATGAAGCCACATGTTGATAATAGTAGAGCCTTGACCTCATTCTGCAAACCCCAGATTTCTATACCTCTGGGTTTCCATATTATTTAAGCAAATATTTTACGAGACTTCATTGTAGCAACTTAGCTTGCAACCAGACCAATACACTGCCCTGTAGTAAACCCATTTACTATTATCTTCCAAACTCTTCTGTTCCTATAGGTACTAGGAGAAACAACCTGTTGCTAGTTAGTGACCTGGGTGTCCTCTTCACAGCTTCTCCTTAACCCTCTTACCCCCACACTCAATGAGTCACCAGGTCCTAAAGATTTTGCTTCTGAACATTTCTGAAATCCACTTGGCCTTCTTTCCAGCTCCATGCCAATTGTACTGAACTCTCTAGTCCTCAAAACTTCCTTCTCCCCTTTTCCCTTTGGGTTTTGCATACTTCTACTCTCAGACTCTACACCCTTGAATAATTTCTAATCAGTTTGCAAATTTCATCTTGAAAAGCAGATTTTTTTTTTTTTTAATGCATACAAGAGCTGAGAAGTAGGCAAGAGGTGCAGTGAGGGTGAGAGGATTCACCAAAGACAGAGTGAGGAACAGAACAGGCAGACTGATAAAATACACTGCTGAGGGGAGCAGCGGGTGGGTCAGGAGAAGTCTGCCACGCCATGTGGGTCAGCTCCCTGGCTGGGGATTGAACTCATGCTGCAGTGGCTGCGGATAGCTTCCTAGTGCTGGACCTAACCCCTTGCGCTATCAGGGAGGCCCTTGAAAAGCAGGTTTTTTTTTTTAAGATTTATTTATTTATTCATACAGAACTGGGGTACAGGCCAGAGTTGCAGGGGGCAGTGAGAGGATTCACCAGAGACAGAGTGGGGAGCAGAACAGGCAGACTGATAAAATATACTGCTGAGGGGAGCAGTGGGTGTGTCAGGAGAGGTCTGCCGCGCCATGTGGGTCACCTCCGGGGCAGGCGGGGATCGAACTCATGCGGAAGTGGCTTTCAATTCTTAGTGCTGGCTTTAACCCGCTGCACTACCAGGGAGGGCCCAAAAAGCAGTTTTTAAGGAAAGTCTCTTCGTGGTTACCTGCACTCAATTGCCTGGGCCAAGCCCCACGCACTGACCTGTGCTTGCAGTCCCCAGGCCCGCACACCCTCTCCCAGAACCTCGGCCCACTCGCAGGCGTGTTGCTGCTGCTGAGTGTTCAGCTGGTTTCTTATGCTTTCATCTTCTGCAGACAAACAAAACCCTCCTCTGGTCTCTCAGTGGAAGACCCTAGAAAGAGTAGTGACCCTGCCTCTCCTCCCATATCAAGAAATTCATGTTTTCCGTTACTTTGGTAGAGCAGACTTGTGTGCTGGGTGGGAAAAGATGCAGATCAGGATAAAAAGCAATGCATGCATGTTAGGTAAAAAGAGTCTGTCAGTTTCAATACTTTGCCTTTTTTGTTGTTTTAGAAGCAAATGGATTAGGGTAAAATGATAGGATCACAACATGTATCCTAACTTTTAGAAGTGAGCAGATTTCAGTAAGAGACTTTTGAATGAAAGGTAGAAAGAGAAAACTTTTTAAAGTAGCCTAGGATTCCAAATCATCTGTATTTTTGCAAAACTAAATAGTAATACTAATAGTATTCTTAAGAAATGCAAAAGGTAAAGGCAGGAAGATTAAGATAAATAAATGGTGACAGACACAGCAGTGACAACCTTCCTATTTTTATGTAAAAAGACAGAAGAATAATGCCAGTCACAACCTTCCTAATTTTGACAGTCAAGTCCTCTCCCCTAATAAAGAAGTGTAATGTACTATGTTTTTCAGCTAAAGAAGTTTCAAAGTACCAACTGGGCAAAATATCAACTCCAGTTTTCCTCCAAACTTCAACTCATTTCTTATTTTATCTTATATATTGCTTACATCATTCTGCATTTTTGTACAATGTGTGCTTTCTCATCTGGGTGATGGCCCCAATGGATTTCCCACCCCCAGCTCACCCATGCCCTGAACCCATAGCCCACCCATTTCAAACTTCGCCCTTCTCCCCCCAACCCCTGCAGAATGTCTCTGCAGAATGTCTGTGGTTTACAGTTGCCTGTTGATTTTGATATTTACTTTATTATAATTTGATGATTTGTCCCCTTATTCTATTTATCAGTCACTCTGATATTCATACCCTTAACTATCCTCCGAGGGTCAGTATTATCAGTATAAATGAACACCCAACCCCTTGGGAAGCTCACAGCTATTCCCCAGCAAAATTCGTGGGTGATGGAAGGGCCTTGGTTCACTCACCTGCCACACCTGCCCACTTCCCAAAGGCCACCACGCGGACTCCTTTAGGATTCACCATTTTTTCATAATCAATAAGACGGATTTCCTAAAGGAAAGATGAAAAAAATCTCAGCCAGACCCATCAAGCTTAGTATCAGTAAATAAAGTATATAAATGAATAACTTTCTTTAACTTTTAACACAACACAATCTACAAATACAGCTACAGCCCACTACTCCTCACATCCATCCTTCTCGTCTCCAAGAAATGATATCCCTCCTGAGGCGAGTCCCTGTGACGAGATCCAAGCTCCTGTTCATCTACTCCAAGACCATCTTCCGCTTTCTACTTCCTGCTTCCTGCATCATCCATCTTTACATGACTACCTTAGCAACCCAAATGCACGTTGGTCTCTTAATATCATCATCATCATCATCATCACATTCCCACTCGACTCCATACACAAATCTACCTCATCCTCCCTCTCTCCTCATTCCTCATTCTCATTTTCTCTCTGCAACCCTCCACAAGTGAGCTCTATTTAAAATTACCATATGCCACCTACTTCTCAATTCCTCACCTTCATAAACCACATTCTTTCTCTTTCTTCAGAAATCATGTGTCTCTTCTTGGGGATATCTAATACACACATGTTTGAAAGCTACAGATACATTGTAATTATGGAATATGTTAAGCCATCTTGTTCTTTCCTCAAAGATTGTATATTTTTTGCCATGTTCATGATTCTTAAAAAGTTTAGGATTCATCTAACGCTAAGTGGTTGGGTACAATAGGTTGCCCAAAAGTAATCTTGCAGGATGGTTTATTTATGAACAAAAGTTCATATAACCAAAAAACAAATTTCTTCAGTACTTTTTGAAGTTCACTAACTTACAGTAAGACATTTTTCTGATACAATTTCCATTAATTATTTGTTTAATTTGTTCCTCAGGAATACTGCAAATTAACCACAGTCTAGGTCTAGCCTATTTGAAATGGTGGTAGTATATTCTAAACTTCTATAGAAAATATGTTTTGCTCCAAGATTTTATTCTTTGTGACCGTTCCTGTTCTCTGCCCTCTATTCAGGTTCCAGTCTAGTTTTTAATTCTTAATATCACTACAAGACTTAGACCTTGGACTGTTCTGTCTGCTCTCACTCCCTGCCCTAGTCCATTGAATTTAGATGACATCTGGTTTCTGATAAGTACAAAATGGCTATCAAGAGAATCTGCTTTCCTGTGTATAGATTCAGTCCAGGCACTCACTCAGATTCTCTCCTTAAATATCTAACAGAGAAATTCAACCCAATAGGCCTTAAACTCCATGCCTGACACTCTCATCCCAGTCTGCTTCTCTGACAGTAGCATCATCTCAAAGTATGGCAACTTTTTTTTTTTTTTTTGAGTTGTTCAGCATAAGACCTGGGAATCATCCTTGACTCTTCTCTCTCATATTCCACATTCATTGCATCAGTGGATCCTGCAAAATCAGACCTCAAAAATATATCCAAGATTTGTATATAGATCCCAACCTCCACTTCCACCACCATATTGCAAGCTACCATCTCTAGCTTATTCACTAGCTTATTGCCTAGACCAACACAATCTTATTCATTGTGTACTTCTCCACCTCCAAATATTATCCACAAAGCGGCAGAAGAAACATTTTGAAATGCAAATAACCCTACACTCAAAGAGACCCTAGTCCATTGCATTACCATTTGCACTACTTGGAAGACTCTTCCCAAATGGATATGACTTGACCCTTCACCTCCTTCAAACGTTGGCTCAGATGCCACCTTTGAAATGAGACTCTCCCTGATGGCCCATTTTAAATTAGCATTGTCACTTCTCCAGTGCCCAACATTCCTTAATTCCTTCCATTGCACTTTCTTTCCCATGCCACAGGTCAACAAGTCACACAGAAGATGTTCCTATTTCTCTGTCATGCCTCCTCCCACCAGAATGTCAGCTCTGCGAAAACAGGGATATTTTACTACTTTGTTCTTTTATTGATGTTAACAGTGACAAGCACATATCACAATAAATACCTGCTGAATGACTAATGCACAGAATGTCGAATAGAGGTAGTTTTCCAGAGTATTATTTTAGTTGGTAGTACCTGATCAACTGAACTTTTAAACTAATAATCATTTATGGGGGGGAGGAGAAAGTTCATCATTCTACTTTAGAATACAAAAGGGGTGTCTGTGTGTATGATATGTATATATTTGATTCTTCCACTATAAACTTGAAACTTGCAGAGCAGAGGAACCCTGAAACAGAACTCCTGAGGGTCATAGGTCCCCTTATTTAATGAGGTGAATAACATGATATATCTCTGAACTGCTGGAAGAAAACTAAAATTCACTTGAGAGTTAAAAGTAAAATTTAATATGTGTATGTTACCATTTATAAACATTGGTCATTAATTACCTGTTTTAGCATCTCATCCAACAAGCCCATATTTGCCTCTTGAGCCTTTATTGTGTGGGAGAAGAATGCATAAGTCTTTTTGGATATTAATTTTTCCTCTGGGGGTCTTTTAACACCCAAAATCAGACAAGCTTCAGAAATATCCTCTTGAAGAATACCACCAGCTTTGACATATTCCTAGGAATGTAATGTTGGTGAAAAGTTAGTCCCCTGTTTCTTTATACAAATATGAAAATAGGAATTTAAGAAGATATTTAGGGCATAACAGGTAAATTGGTTTGGATGTAGATAATATTACATGGGAAGGGCTTACTGAATAAAAATAAAACAACTGTCTTTTATTAATAAATTATTGTATTTTGTGCTAAACTCTGAACAAATTATCTCATTTAATTTTTAAAAAGCTCCCACAAACGTTTTATCACTATCCCCATTTTATCAATGGAAATCCTGAAGTTTACACCTTTAACTGAGATTGCACAGCTTGTATATAGAGGAAAGAGATAGTCATTTCAGATTTTTAAATGAAAATGTGGCAGGATTAGACACAATTAAAAGAGCATCATAGTTGGCAGCTGAATACAATGACGATCAATCCCCCTTAGCAATCTGCTTTAAAAGAAAGTATAGATGATAGGAAATAAAGTTAAAAAACATAGTTTCTACTCTATGTAATATGCAATGTTAATTGGAAATATTAGTATGGTCATGATTAAATAATACATGTGCATATGTATATGTCTATATATTTTTTGCTGTCTCCTGAGCAACATTATCTCAGGATAATGGACGGGTTTCTTTGCCCATGTATAGCAAACTGATTAAATAAACCACAGTAAATCATGGAGACGACAGAGTAGTTATGACACATTCATTGAAATGAATGAAGTAGATCCCCATAAACTGATAGGTGATTTCTAGAATATGCTGCTGAGTAAACCAAGTAAAGTGTGAAAGAGAATGTAAAGTATATGCTTCTGTATAAGAATGGATCGGAAATGAGAATACACACGTGCAAGTGCTTACAAAATGAGACAGAAATGGTAGACCAGAAACTAATGAAATGAGGAAACTCTGGCAATGGTGCGAACAGGGTGTGAGGAATTGAGAGAACAAGATTCTCTGAAGTACAACTTATTTTTCTAAAACTTTATTGATTTATGCTTACAAGAACTGTGGAACAAGCCAGAGGAAGGGGTGAGAAGATTCACCAGAGACAGAGTGGGGAGCAGGACAGGCAGGTAGACTGAAATACACTGCTGAGGGAGCAGCGGGAGACACAGGAGAGGTCATGAGGGTCAGCTGGGGCAGCAGACAGCTTCAGAGTGCTGAGACTTAACCCCTTGAGCTGCCAGGGAGGTCCTGAGATACAACTTTTTATAAGGTTTTTATTGAAATTTTTCATTGGAAACATGTAAATGTTATATTGCTTGTACTATTAACTCAAAAAGGATTTAAGACACATTAAAATTAAATAGGAACAAAAATAAATTAATTCAACTGGATATCACATTGACTATATAACCCAAAACTAATTTCAATAACTTTTTAACACAGCACTCTTGAGTAGTCTTTTTAACTTACGTCCTAACGGTAAAAAAGAAAACCTCCCATGAAATATTAAACTCCATTTAAGAGGCTCATTTTCAGCTGGAATTTTAGCTTTCGGATTCCAATATTAAATATTGTATATTAAAGTATAAAGCAGAAATTACGCACCAGTCAGGAATTAAAATTTCCACTGCTATAGAAAACAGACACTAATACAAAATTTTAGAAGGAAGAAAAATATGCAATGTTAAATTCTAATTGGAAATGTTAGTATTAAATCATGATTAAATAATACACATGTGTATGTATGTGTCTGCATATTTTTAGCCCTGTCTTCTAACAGGGCTCAAGAGCAACATTATTTCAGTAACAGTAAAAACATACCTTACATCAGATACCAGCTCTTCACTTCTATATGCTAAGAGAATTATAGTACTCACTAATGAAACAAGTAATTCTAGGTGTGATGTAGGAAAATACAAGACAGCTCCAGGATAAATGAATTCATGTCCAAAGGATAGATGAATCTCATTAGGGGACTCTCACTCCCCCACATTTGGGATAATTAAGGCATTAAAAAGAATAATGGTTAATAGATTATCATGCATTGAATTAAAAAGTCCCATGTACCCATAAGAAGGGAAAGAAAAAAAGAGCAAAACTAAGAGAAATCTTTTTTTTAATAATATAATAGTTTATTTTTACATCATTTTGTGCACTTTTCCATCTCAGTTGTAATCTCTCAGTTGCTTTCCATCACCAAACCACCCATGTGCCATTATCCAAAGTCTAGTGTATTTCCCTGAGAAATCTCTTTTTTGCAGAAGTAAATCAGCAAACAAACTCAGAAAAAAGATAAAATTAGAAAGTCATCCAGCACCATGTCAAGGTAGATTCAAGCAGGTTTTATCAATGGATGCAAGAGCATTCGTTCAATGGTCGTTAAGGACCCGTAGGTCTCATCACAGCCTGCACAGAACTCAGCAATGACAAAGGGAGAAAGTTGCTTTTACAATAGAGAGAACTGTTGGTATTTGTGTTTACATGGAAAGAGCATATAGCACACATAATATTCTGACAAATCGTTTAATAAGTCTAATCACAAGGACACAACCAGACTAGGTCTAGTCAGTAACAAAGCATATTGCAAGACAACTAGCCGTGAAAAGAGTCATCATTGAAACCAACAAAAATGGAAAAGGGGTCCTATTCTGATTATAATAAAAGAACAACAACCAGGGCAGAAAACCTTAACTGAGCCTCAATTAAAATAAAAGACATCTGACACTAGAAGGAATTTGAACACAGATAGTGTAAGATGGCATTATGGAGTTAACTAGAGTAGGAAAATTATATGGTGGTCAAATGATTTATTTCTAGGAGGTAATACTAAAGCATTTTGGTGGTGTAGTCATGATGTCTGTCATCCATTTTCAAATGCTTAAGGCAAGAAACATAGGTGTATGGAAATCGCTAAGACAGGGTAAAGAGTCAACTCAACATCACAAGATTATTGCAGAGTAAAGAAAGGATGACCTGGACCGGCCACAGAGGCTGTCAAGAGAAAAGCTCAGGAATCAGTTACTCAACAAAGCATTTGCTGGGGGCAAGAACAGTGGCAAGAGACCTTTGACACCCCAGGCCCAGAGGCAAGGCGCCAGCAGAAGATCCTAAATGAAGAGTATCATCTCTAAAAGCCAGTTCTCTGCCCTTTGGCTGGAGAAAGGGATGGGGTAAAAAAAGTACAATCAGACTGACTTCTGATTATAACCAAGGTGAAGCCATAGGGCCATGTGGTGCTAATTTATTTTTAAAGATTTCTTTATTTATGCATACAAGAACTGGGGTATAGACCAAAGATGTAGGGGGAGTGAGAGGATTCACCAGAGACAGAGTGGGAAGAAGAACAGGCAGATCTACTGAAATACATTGCTGAGGGGAGCAGCAGGTGAGATAGGAGAGGTCTGCTGTGCCATGTGGGTCACCTACCTGGCAGGAGATAGAACTCATGCCACAGATAGCTTCATAGTGCTGTGCTTTAACCGGTTATGCCACCAAGGAAGGGCCACCATGTAGTATTTAAATGATACTTAGAAAACATTCAACTTTCACTCAGATGATCCTTATTTTTCATATACAGTTCCATTTTATTCCCATGTATTTAAAGAATTGGGAGTATTTACCTTATCGTGAATGGCCCGCCGATTAGAAGGTTGGATTAAGACCTTGTATCCCATATTAGTGATGTTCTTGATGTGCCTGGGAGCCAGTGGGGCCCTTCTCTCCCAGGCGTTCACATCCTCCCTCCTCACCGCCATCACTGCTTTGTGGTGAGACCTGAAGCCGGGTCGGAACCCTACTAGGCCAAGTCTGATCCTCTGTACTCGTAGCATCTTGGAATCTGGTGACTGTAAAGACAACGCAAGAGAGACGGGCAAGGAGAGGCGAGAGCACTCACAGAGCAGTTCTGGTCTCCTGAGAAATCTGCTGTAAAATCCAGCCAAATAGACACAAGACAGAGTATAACAGACACAAGACAGAGAAGAGGGTGGCAAAACCTGGATACAAAGTGTCTTGAGCCCAAACGAACGAAATTTCCACATAGGTCGTTAATTATTTGCAAAATAATGAAAGCACAGAGCAACTTATGGGACACTCACCAAAATGGCTTTTTAAATCTAGGTCGTATCAAATTTCCATTCAGCACAAAGGTTCAAGCAAGTTAACCTACAACATGAATACAGGAAGATAACAACTCTGAAGGCTGAAGTTGGAATCCTTTAATAGGGTACAAGAATTGAGCTGTCTCTAACCACTCCCCTCAACTGTTCACAGTGTGCTATGGCTGCTAATCAGTCAGTAGTGCTCAGCGAGATATTACAGAAATAGAAAGTTAACATTCTGAAATCCTAATAGCGCATCGTCCTTTTTCTACTAGTTTATTGTTATCAAGTGTTATAAAAGTATTGGCCCTTGACAGAGTGGAACTTTAAGAAAACAGAACTAATACACACACATGTTCCTTCCCCTATGGATGCTAGAGATTTAAGAGGCATATGTCATCACCCCTGGTCTCTACCTGAGCCCCTCACTGACCCCTTTCTTCTTCTAAACATGCTGTTCCCCTTCATGCCACATCTTCCTCTCATTACATTAAACCCACACCTCTCTCAACCAGTTTGCTAGCTGTTATTCCAAGTTATAAAATTTCACTCATTTATTCAATTACTATGTGTCAGCACAGAGTGAATTATATATATAGGTTTAATGTATAAGCATCAAAGAGCATATTATCTCAAATGGTCAAGTCATGTCAGATGTCAATTTTCTGGATCATTTGGATGATAAAATGTAATTTCCTTTTACAAGGCTAACATCAAAATACAGGTGCTAAATGATTTTACACCTTCTAGAAACTTGTGACCAATTACTGCTAGAGTCTATGCTAAAATTCTTTTGGAACACATTTCTGTTAAATCAGACTATAATCTCTAAGTCAAATCCACTTCATAGGTGGAGAAAGCTTATGTTGACAGTGGAACATGAGAATATTTCCTAGAAAAAAAACTACTTGCCAACCTCAAAAGAAAAGATGTAGGCAACTCATAACTCACAATACAACTGACAAAGTAAACAACAAGGAGTCCAGCTAAGATGGTTTAAGAGGAAGAGGAGCAGGAAGTGAAATCACCATGACAGCAAAGTTCAGGCTAACTTTTACTAAGGCTAAAAAGAAAAATAAAATCAGTGAACAACATTTGAATAAAAGACTATATCTGATTTTTTAATTTATTTATCTAATTTTGTTTTTAAAAGAGATAACATTAGTCCCAACTCCAAGTCCAGAACATTTATTCTCTCCCCAGCTTTTCTCCCAAAGGAAAAACATGAATACACATCCATAAATTCTTAAATCAAACCAACTTCACAGACAAGATATTCTCCTGAACACACAGCTAAGCAGGTATTTGGCATACCAAAGATAAACAAGTGACCTTAAACAAGTGACCTACATCCTAAATTCCTGGCAGTCACATGAGGGAACTTGTCCAGATTTAATCTCTCTCCTCATCCCAAATTTGATTGAAAAACTCTGCCTCGCCTACTGAGATAACTCCCCCCCACACACACACACACATACACACTTCCTTTGTTTAGAGTGGCGTACAGTGTGGGAAAAGAGAAACAAGTTCAGACACATGTTAATGCTCATGAATGTGCGAAGACAGACTTTCTATGGAGACTAGAAAAGAAGTAGTGAAGGCTGATACTCTGGAGTATTGGGGGGAGTTATTTAAATTATAATTCCTATAACCCTGTTTTTTAAACAAATATTTAAGTTACAATTGACAAAACTATAGACCATGCATGATGCTGTGTAGCATTTTTTTCCCTCCTTGCCACAATCTCATTAAGTAGGTACTATTATTATCCCCATCTAACAGATGAAGAAACTATAAAGAAATTGGAACTTGACTTTTTTTTAAGCAGAAGTAGAATGCCTAGGTTAATGTTTAACATTGGAGCTTGCCTTTCTTTGTCAAAGACTAGAGATCCATACTGTGTAGCTCTGACACACATGGTTATGCCAGTCAGCCTGTTTCAGAAACAATTCAGTCCATATAGCATGATCTTTTACAGTTACAGTAAATAACCAGTTCCTCCCACAACTAGGGGTGCCCTTCTTGACCTCTTTCCTCTGTACCTCCACAAATCTTTCCAGAGTTCCTGCCAAGGTAAATTTAGGCTTCTGAGTGCTTAGAAAAGAGATTTGATTATAGAAGTTATTACTGTGTTACTAGTTGCTTGAGCCTTAAAACTTAGCCTCAGCATAGAACTTTCTGGATCTAGCTTGGTTAAATTGAAGGCTACTAAGAGATAGGTAAGGATTTCTGAACTGCTTTTAGGGTGGGCACCATAGATGTCTGATATATCATGGAAATGCCCCAGGTAGGTTGTTTTGAATATCCTTGACTTGGACTTTGTGGGGTTTTCCAAGAATATCGGAAAGTACATGTGATTTCTACTCTGACAATGTCTTCAGTGAAGCAAGGCAGGAGGAGGGGGACAAGGGGGCCACTTACTCACGGACTCTCAGGTTACTTAACAGTGTCATATTCTGATAACTATCTAAAACATGTGCAAGGAAGAAGCAGAAAAGCAATAGAAGATAGGAGAAGAAAAAGAAAGAATGGAGAACGAAGAAGCGAAAGAGGAAAAAAATAAGGGAGAAAGAGAAGTGTGACTATCGGAGGTGGTGGGCAAGCTCTTCTCTGACAAATTCTTTGTGGGCATAGAGGGCTAACATTTCACATAGCATAAAAATAAAAGTTGAAATACTTTTTCCTAAGCTTCTTCTAGCACTAAGGTATATATTCTTACTTACCTAGGATTGACCAGGAGTCTGTAGTGTCTCTAAAAGTCATAGAATATTATAGTGATTGCACAGACAACTGCAATCTTCTAGCAATGGGGGAACACAGCATATGATACCACCTTACCTATCTTTCCATCTCTCATTGGGAAGACCTAAAGCTTGCTTTTTCAATTTACAAGTCACCTATCTTTCTAATGCACACATGTGACTCAGAGGATGGGGAAGTGCTTGAAAATTCTCAGTATGTTCTGTTCTTTGCCAGAGAAAAGGAAAGGAAAATGGTCATTAGAGATGACAAGTAATAGATGATTGACTGATAGATAGGTAGATAATTAGAGAGAGACGAGGAGAACAGGGGAGAGGAAAGCAGAGAAGAGAGAGAATGAAATTGGCATGCCATATACAGCCCACAATTTTCTTTCAATGACCTGAAATAAATCATGGTCCTTGAGTACATCATCACCCTAAGTCACATGATGATGGAACGATGGAGGATTCTGCAAGGTGTGTTTGTAGGAGAGTATATCTCAAGGACAGGGCCCTCCTAGGTAGCTGAGAAGTTCTTTCCAAAGATGACAAGACTGGTCTGTACAATTACCTAGATTTGTGGAGTGGGGGCTAGTCATTTGCCTCCAGCATGACTATTTCTTACCATTTCAAGAAAATATAATAAAAACCAGAATATTCTTGAAGAAGTTGTGATTTTGCTCATTGGTTACAGAAGAGATATTTGGCTTTCTTTCTTAAATTTAGAAACTATTTTGGTTCCATAGCATGGTGTGAGGTACTTATAAAGAAGCAGGGACCCAGAAAATGTTTTAAACTTACAAACCACTCCCCTGAATCAGAACTAAATACAAGCAAACACACAAGCTTGAGTATTAAAAGGGCTAGGATGGTTCTTCCTAATTTTTCTGGTTTTTCACTAGGAAAAGTATGAAGGATGACAAGTCACTATTGAAGGAAAGCAGAATCGTTCACCTCTAGTCCCTATGAAAAAGTTGAGTTCTTTACTCTTCTATGTTAGATCTTTCAAATTATGCCACCAAAACATAATCCAGTGACTGAAACATTAGATCACATGGGAAGATATCTCCTTGGTAAGTTAGTTGTAATGCCTGATTAGGCAAACCCCTTGACTAGCTTTTGAAAAACTAAGGATGGAGTAGTCTTGTGTTGAAGGATAGATGAGAAATACAAATAATTCATATACACCTTTCTAGTTCACTCCAAAGATATTAGTGCATTTTAAATGTATTGGTTTCCCAGAAAGACCCAGAACCAAAAATAAAAGGAGACAGCTCCCTGGCTCTGAGTCTTGGCACGAAAGTATGTATTTCATATCCAAACCATAATAATCCTAGAAAGTTCCCAACAGCTCCAGATTTATAGAGCACCTGGAAATCACCTATAAATAATGTAAACGCTGCCTAACCCCAGGGCTTACTGGAACCAAGCTCGGGCATGCAGTAACACTGTCCTCACATTTCTGGTCTTGTTGCATAGGTGCATTCTTTTGATATTTCCACATTAAATACCTTAAGATAACGAGAAGTTAAACACACGCACACACCAGAATTGGGTGTGAGTACTCTAATACTGTTCATTCATCTGGTCTGAAAATATCCACATGTCAAGTCTATCAGCTACTCAAAGTCATCCAGGCATAAAATTTTACAACTCTCCTGGTCTTAAGCCCACAGATTTAGCTTCACTGAAATGGAATGCGAAGTTAGTTCAGAATTGGCATCTAATCTAAAATAGTTATTTGTTTATTTGTCTTTCTCTTTGCTAGACAATAAATGCTTTAAGGGAAGAGAAGGTGTTTTATTCATGTCTATTCCTAGGGAAGACTCTCACATAGTTTTAAAGAAAAAGATGAACAAATGAGTAAATGTAAATGAACAATATAAAGATGTATGCAGCAAAGATAACAAAATAGACAAGCAAATAAACAGGAACTCAACACTGCTCCACCATCACCATCACCACAATGCTGTGCATCTTCTGAGAGAACAGACCAATGC